ACTCTCCTTTCAAAAGTTATCGTGTTAACGGCCGGACGGACATACTGACCGATTATAGTAGTGTACTCACTTTTTGAGTACACTAAAAAAGACAATTCTCATATTCCACATCTGCATACTCAGCCTAATCGCAGATGCTTAGTAATTCGTGATTAAAAAAAAAAAGTCAATACAAATTATATTCATTTATGTAGAAGATTATTTACATTGGAGATTTGTCTTTCATTACGGTTCGCTATCGATTTCACAACTTTCTTGTAAACAAAGATTTACAATTGTTAAATCAAATCACAACTAATTTTCAATAAGATTTTTTAAAACATAAGTTTATTCTTTGAAGAAATTATTATTATGCAAAATTTTATAGAAATTGAAAGAATGCAAAACAAACATTCATTTATCCTTAAATATTAATATCTATATATATTTGTTTTTGTACAAAACATTTTTAAATGAGATATTATATTTTAAGTCGAACAATATTTTTTTTTTTTAAATAAAATAATTAGTATAACTTTATGTGAATCAAATTGAAGTGTAAATAACATCTAATACTGAAATAAAATATAAATAAAATTTGTTTCTTCTCTTTCGATTTTTATCATTGTATTAAAATCCTTTCCTAAATATTTAATCTGTAGTTAATGTGAATATAAATAATAATTTTAGTTAATAGTTTTTTTCTATAATGACTAATTTTATCGATATAAGTCAAGATTATGATTACTCATATTTCAACTATTTTTTAGTTTCTCTATTTGTGAACAGATTAGTTATGGTAACTATAAAATTGATCAAACGAATTAAATGCTATCGACAATGAAGAATTTCAATCTTTAATTGATTTTTTTTATCAATATAAAAATAGATTAAATCTCAAATCTATTTCGATCGAAACATTTATTTAGCTCGTATCTCTTCTTCGAGAATTTTTAGTTCAATTGACTTGAAACTTTTGCTTTACTAAAGGACGATGGAAATTTTTCTAATTTTACCATACATTCGTTCAATGAAGAGTTATTTTTATTCAGGTTAAAACATTATTCATAGTTTATATTCTTAAAAGATAAGAAATTTTTTTAAAAATTATTTTAAAGTATTTACAACTGATGTGAACAAAGAACTTTGATCATATGTGAGCTATTAAAAAACTATAATTTTTTCAATTAATTTATACTAATATCAATTGATTAAAACTTCTACTATAGATGCATGTCTTGTTAACTTTTTCTCATAAACAAAATTATGAATATACTAAAATGATTTTCGATACTAGCTCTTCTGTAAATGTAAACTGTGAATATTAATTTGTCATAAATAGAAATATCAACTCATTATACTAAAGTGCAAGGCTCTCAATTGTTTTTACAAATGGGAGTGGCTGATTTTTTTTGACAGACACCATTCGGTAGTTTTCTCGCAGAAATTTATTTCTGTCCAAAATTTTTATAAGTAATTCAGTTGAACTTATTTTGACTAGAGTTCATGAGGAATTTGAATTTGCTGCAAATTCGAATCGCTTATACCGCTATAGCGGTATAGTGGTATACCGGTCCTCAAGACCTGTTTTTGAAAAAAAAATTTTTTTTAATGCAGAAACAGACTGTTTGAGAAAAAAAAATTTCGAAAACACCTGAAATTTTTTTTTTGGATAGCTTTTTTAACGCAGAAACACACTATTTGAGAAAAAAAAAAGTTTTTTTGAAAAACAGGACTTGAGGACCCCTACCTACACTCACACTCTAAGATACGTGCATACCTCTATATAACGATTTTGTCGCAAATTCATTTTTTTTAAAGAAATTGAATGTGTCACAAAATCAAATTCCCCATCATGTAACTCGATCCATTATGTCAGGGATTGACTACTTCAAAGCCTAATTGAGATATACCTATGGTTGTGCTCATCTTTTTCACCTCTGAATGTACTGTTCCAAAACAAAGTGCAAGATGAAGATGAGACAAAGCGAATACGTCTTTTCATGTTTTTTTTTTTCCATAACTTGTACATCTTTGTTCTATTGGTGCATAAATATATATCCGTTTTTTTCGATGAAAGTCTAATTCTAAATATCAGTTTCGATGATATCATTCAAATCACCATCTTTTGACTGTTTAACTTAATTATAATAACTTTGATAATCTCTGTTATTAAACTTATAAATTCGATGAAATATATTTAGAGAAGTTGGAACTTCGATAAACATAAGAACTTCAATACGACATATACACAGAAAACGCTCTGACGCCACTAAGTACATTTTATATTTTGAAAGACTAAGTAATGCATTACTACTTCTAACTTTACAAACAATCTATCTCGTACATCAGGGTGAACAGAGTCTTTGCACTGATTGTCAGATTCAATAAATCAACTGTATTATGATTTCAAATAAGAAACGCAGATTGTACTGTTTGATAATTTTGCCAGAGATTCCCCAACACCAAAAAATTTTGCAGACCCGTAACAGCAAAATTTTGGCAGACACTCTGAAAAAGTGGGGAGGGGGGACTAGCACACCCCATCCTCCCCCCTCCACATCGAGAGCCTTGCTAAAGTGTCTTCAGATTTTAATCTTTACTATAAAATATAGGAGTTGAGAATGTATAACTAATTTAATTTGATTAAGAAGTAATGGCAAAAAATATTAGACTAGTCTCATTTTTGAAAAAGGTCGATATTACTTGACTAGCCATAATAGACAATGGTATTATGGTAGATATAAGTTAACTTAAGTAATTGTTCATATTTTCTCTTCTAACTAATTAAAAATAAATGCGAAAACATCGGATTTACATTCGAATGTTATGTGTACTTCAAAAAGTGAAAAGATATCTTTATCATCTGATAAATATCTAGACTATTTGCTTTCTCATCTGTAGTTTGAGACCTTTTTCGGTAGATGTTTTATTAGAAAGGTTCAAAACTAATATCAGATTCGGAATCACCGATAAAAACTGAGTTGATTTATATAAGTTGTGAAGAATTCCAAGAAAAAAATTTTTTTTTCAAAAAATCCCTGTACCTCCCCTCTCAAGGATGGTCAAAATAATAATGACAATTTTTTCGATAACTCAGTCATTCCTTCTCATTTTTGAACTCGATCGAGACTGAACTGTATAGAAAATTTCATTATGATCAGACTCTCCTTTCGAAAGTTATCGTGTAAACGGTCGGACGGACATACTGACCGATTCTAGAGTGTATGAACTTTTTGAGTACACAAAAAGAATCGATCATGCCGTATATCTTTATACTGTTTCAAACAAAAAATATATCTGATGGGTTAGAAGAATAAAATTTTATTAAATGTTGAAAAATAGCATAAAGTGAAAATTATGAAAAATATTTTTAAATTCTTCAAAAATTATTCGTTGTTTTCTTTTTAAATCGAGAATTATAAAAAAAATTTTTCTAAAACTCTCGGGAGAAAACTGATTCTGTATGGAATGTAGGTGTGTGTATGAAATAATTAAAGATTTACATCCATACTCTATTTATTTCTCATTCATTTCTATTTAATATATGATATGATAGATTTTCTTACAATGTGTTGCATTTTTTTTTTCTTCAGATATTTCCAATTCTCTTCTTTTTTAATTCATTGTTTGACTTTTTTTTTATTCAAATCATAAGAAGAGAGAATGAAAGAAATAGAGTTACTACTTTTCCAGTTTCTAAAGTAAAACATTGATGTGAAGGATAATAAAATAAATAGCATAGTCATTAAACTATTTAATGAAGATAATCACAAGAATTTCGTTGAATTTTTTGTTTCCAATAAAATTTCTATACTATACGAATCGAAGATGGATAAAAAAAATTTTTTATTCACAAGGTTCTCTACATTTCTCTTTAATATTGAATCAATCTCATCTAAATGAACCTTCTTCAAATGAATCATAATAAAAATGAAGAACCTAAAGACATAGTCTACGATAAAATCATTTTTAAGAGGTTTTTTTTTAAAAGTTGTAATTTCTATCGAAACTAGTGTAACTCAATTAACATTATTAAAACATGGTATGTTTTGAGATTAGTTGTTATGTAAGATTTTCTTTTTTTTTGAATATTAAAGTTTGATGATTTCGAAATCAAAGCAATTTTTTGAAAGTATCTCTTGAATAATTTGAATAATTAATTATAAAATAGTTCAATGGGTTCTCATGGCAAGGAAGTCTTAGACAATTAAAGTTATTCACCAACTTCTACTAATAATTTTAACATCTTCTATGGAGAATGTGGTTTTTTTTTCTAAGTATCAATTGTAAACCTTCAATAGAATCCAGTTACTGAAAAGTGATTTTTTTTAACAAATCAATTCGATATTGTATGTGAACATGAGTTTGTCAATGAGAATGTAGACCTTCTTCTCATGAATATTTTACATCCATACCTTTTTTTTTTTTGTTTTTTAATCAACTTTTCATACGAATAAGTACAAGAAAATAATTATAATTAGACCAATATTTTTGTAGAATATATATTATATGTTGACATACTCTTTGAATCATAAATTATTTTATTCCAAAAAAGAAAAATATTTTTTGTATAGAGTAATAAATTTCACTATAGTTTCTACATGTCACAATTGGATGTTTTACATTGTTCTTATTCTTATGAGTGTAAAAGCTTCGAAATTTTGAGTTTTTCAAACAAAAAAAGATGTTACTTTTAAATTTCACATATTATATAATCAAATTAGATAATCATTTTAAGTTTTATAGATAGTATTTAACTATATAACGAGAATCAAGCAGCAGTAACCACGATCCAAAAATTCGCAATTCAAGAAATTCAAGAAATTCAATGAAGCAGTATAATACAGAGAGTTATCAGTCTAAGGTATGATGGAATTCAAGTTATTCAAGAAATTCAAGGAATTCAACAAAGTGATGCAAGACAGGCACTTATAAGCCTCAAGTAAGATGGAATTCAAGAAAATCAAGCAATTCAAGAAATTGTTGCGTGCGGGTGTGAGGTGTGAATGAAGAGTGTGGATGTGGAGTGCGTGTGGGTATGGGCGTGGATATGGATGTCGGTTTGTCCATAGGTTAAAAATATATTGACACCGACATCCACATGCTGCAATTTCTTGAATTTCATCATACCTTAGACTGATAACTCTCTGTATTATACTGCTTCATTGAATTTCTTGAATTGCTTGAATTTCTTGAATTTCTTGAATTCCATCATACCTGAAACTGATAACTCTCACTGTTATACCACATTATTGAATTTCTTGAATTGCCAATTTCTGGATCGTGGTTAGATCTCGAATCAAGAGTTCTTAAAGATCATTCAAACTTCTTTAAATCAATCTATTACAACTCATTTTCTTTTATTTTTGATTACCTCAACAAAAAAAAATAGTGTGATTTTTAAGCTATGAAAAAGAAATACAATAAAATATTGATTTAAATTTCGAAGATATTTACTGTAGTGATAAAGCATTATATAGATAATTGCATTGAGAAATTTCTTAGACTAGAAAATTATGGAATGACTTTTCTATTCTCAGTTTCTATCAATTGAATTTTTGATTACAAAAGAATGACAGCATCATTTTCAAAAAATGTATTTATGTGATTAATTATAATCTGTAGATCATAATGGAGTAAGTATAGAAAAATAATTTAAATAAACAAATGTATAATTTAACATATAAAAAAGGATTTTTTTAATTGTCACTTTAACTAAAAGAAGTATGAATGAAGATTTCTCTGTATTTAATGATTGAAATACTTCGTTTTTTTCATAGATACCTGCCGAGTTTATTTCATCGTTTTTTTTTTCTTCTTTCATTGAAAGAAGAGCGTTATGATTTCTCATTCTCTGATTCTAATTTCTTACAATTTCATGTTAAAACACTTCTGTCTTCTCTTCCTCAATATCGAAAGAATTTTTACTAAATCTTTTTTTTTAGTGTACTCAAAAAGTGAGTACACTACTATAATCGGTCAGTATGTCCGTCCGGCCGTTAACACGATAACTTTTGAAAGAAGAGTCCAAGCGCGACGAAATTTTCTATACAGTTCAGTCTTTACAATGTCTCGGTCGAGAGAAGAACGATGAGAAGGATCCGTCGAGAAATGACTGAGTTATAAAAAAAATTGTGATTTTTCACCAGACCATCCCTGAGGAGGGGGGGTACAGGGATTTTTTTCTAAAAAAAATTTTTTTCTAATAATTATTCACAAAATACATAAATCGACTCAGTTTTTAACGCTGATTCCGAATCTGATATTAGTTTTGAACCAAATTATAGCTTCCTAACAAAACATTGCCTGAAGAAGGTCTCAAAATGCCAAAAAACTGCATCCAGAGACCAAACAGCCTAGATGTGTCTCAGATGATCAGTAGTTTTGGGGTTTCCCAAATGCCTGATTTTGTAGTTAGTCAAAAGGACTGTTGAGAGGTAAAAACTCGAACTCGATAGCTATTAATATTGGTGATGTATTAGGAAAATACTGATGTTTGCATCTCTGATATATCTCTTATAGATTGATGAGGTTGATAACGATCGTAATCCTGCTAGATAGAAGCACAAATCCATTGAAAACTAACTCTTCTTAGCTAATTTTCCAAGGTAAACACGAATCTGAACTCAATTTGTGTGATTTCTAAAGATATTCAATAACTCTGATAATAGAGTCAGTGGTCACCGTCTAGGGTTGCATAGAGTGTAGTCCATACTAACTTCGCACTCCTATATTTTCTCCTTGCAATTTAGTGATAAAAAAACATAGTGAATATACCTTTTCACTTTTCTTCAGTACACATAACACTCGGATTTAAATCCGAAGTTTTCGCATTTATTTTTATTCAAATATTTCGTTTCATTATTTTTTAAAGATGATTTAAAATAATTTTTGTTTTTATTAATATATGTTTAATGAATTAATAATGTTTGTTTAAATTTAAACACTAAAATTAAACCATAGATCGAAGTATTGAAATGTTCGAAAAGATATATAAATCGATCAAATACAATGACGAACAAATAACCAGTATATAAATAAACAGATGATATCATAGATTAGTTCATATTATTGTAAACATTTTTCTTCGAGATTATTTATTCGTTGTTATTTTTATTTTAAAAAAATGTCCAAAATTAAAACGATAACATTATTAAAATCGACAACATCTATCAAAAAAAATTTTCAAATAAAATAACTAAAGATCCAAATGCACCAAAACGATATCGAACAGCTTACATATTATTTTCCGTTGAAAAACGTGATGAAATTAAAGTAAGTATCTTACGTTAATCATTTATTTTTCTTTTTCTTTTTTTTTGAGAATGAAAATCCAGGATTATTATCAAAAGAAATTATAGCAGAACTTGGTGCACAATGGAAAGCTGCTGATGTTGCAGTAAGTCTTGATTTTCTCTTTGATTTATTTATGTTGAATATATTTGTTTAGACTAAACAACGTTTTCAAAAATTATCAGATACTGAAAAAGTTAAATATGAAGAAAAAAATGGCCGCTTACAAAAATGAAAAACATGATAAAAAAATCAGCAAAAGAAAAAAATCTTCTAAAAAAAATGAATCTATGGATAATGGACAAGAAGATTCAATGGAAGATTAATTGATCTTAATCAAAAATATATCTATTCGAAAACAAAAAAAAACGAGTTTGATCTTTCTTGTTTCTTTTATTTATTATTTTGTTTATATACATATATATTCTTTGCTCTTAACTTGTGTTTATTTTTCTTTTTTAATTCATGTGTGGAACTCTTTCTATCTATATATTTATGTGTGTGTTGTTCGATTTACATATTAATAATGAAATAAAAATAACAGTTGCATGGACTTCATAGAAGGTAGTAGCTTCTTGATAGTTTATACAATTACGAAGAGAGGGAAGCAAGATGATTTCCTTCTCTTCAAAGTTTTCTATTATTCGGCATTTTTCTCGGAAATATTTTTTTTTATTATATTTTTCAACGGAAATAGAATTTATATATTTAAGCGTCGTAGATTGTTAAACAAACAAATGATGAGACATATGATAAATATTATTTGATCATAAATAATATCTAAAGTTTATCTAATAGGATACAATTGAAAAAGATATGTACAATCAAGATCTAAAATAATTCAACAAAATTTATTAAATCGATCGAATAAAGTTGAAGAGCACTAAAAACAAACTAAAATACAACTATAAAATAGTTTCTCATCAAATTTTTTTTAGAAAAAAAAATTATACAAAATGATTTAGATGTCAGTATTAAACATTTTTTTAGTTATCTTTTGGACAAATAAAAATAAAATAAATGCAAAAACTTCAGATTTACATCCGAGTATCATCTGTATTTCAAAAAGTGAACAGGTATATTAACTCTATTTTTTACTATCTGTTAAATATCTAGATTATTTGCTTTCTCAACTCTAGTTTGAGATCTTTTTTGTTGGAAAGCTACGATTTGGTTCAAAACTAATATTAGATTCGAAATCTGAGTCGATCTATATATATCTTGTGAAGAATTCCGAGAAAAAAAAAATTTTTTTTGAAAAAATTCCTGTACCCTCCCTCAGAGAGATGGTCAAATCAATAATAAAAATTTTTTCGATAACTCAGTCAGTCCTTCTCATATTCGAACTCGATCGAGACATTATTAAGACTGAACTGTATAGAAAATTTTATCGCGATCGGACTCTCCTTTCGAAATTTATCATGTAAACGACAGGGTGGACATACTGATCGATTCTAGAGTGTATGAACTTTTTTGAGTACACAAAAAAAAAAAAAAAGATGATGAATATTAAACAAAAACTATATAATAAACAGTTTTTCTCTGTAGGAAAAAAAAATGTTTCTTTCAATTTATCAGAGATTTCTTTATGATTTTATTGACATAAGAAATAGTGAAAAAAGAACAAGTGTTTACAATTAACAATAGAAGTGTTAGAAATGCTAACTCAGAAAATATTTTTCTGATAATAAAATGACAAATGAATGTATCATTTCTTTTCATCTTTAAAAGACATTTTTTCTTCAGTCATTTTAAGATGATAGAAACAAATTTTTAACTTTCTTTTTTTTAATAATTTCTATAGCTTTGAAATATCTTCTATTCAGTGTTGTATGAATGAAGTCTCTTCGTTGTTCATTATTGTACTTTTATTATTAAAGGGATATCTCGAAATCACTAGCAAAAATATTCGTAATAAAGCTATTTACGTAGTTTTGTCTTTCAGTATAAATTACTAATAATTAATAAACATTCGATTATTATATTTTTAATAAATATTTTAATAAAATGAAAATTATCTATACTATTATTAGGATATAAGAAATATATTTAAAAATAGAAAAAAAAAAAATCATTTTTCACTATTTAAATGACTTGAATTTCAATGTTGAGCAGGAGTTTCACCACGCATTAAACGTGTATTAATATCAGTAATTATTGACGGCAAATCGACAATCGTATCTATTATATAATGTGGTTTACTTGGAGCAAATAATTTATCGATACGTTCATGTTCAACACTTAAACGATCAGATGAAAGAGCAGAATATTCATTCCAAGTTAGACCAAGTAGATTACCGGAAAAACGTAATGCTACTGTCCACATACCTGCACTAAGACCTTCGAGAATACCTGGTACAGTATCATCTACTTTAATACAAGCAGCTACATTATCGATTCTAAGAGCAATTACATTAGCTAATGCTTGTGCTGGACTAGGACGACCTTTTGGTACTTCATCCGTTGCTATTATACAATCTGGTGTATAACCAATAGCAGCAGCTTGTTGTGCTAATTTTTCCATTACTTCCTTGGGATAGCCGGATGTTGAACCAATTTTTAGACCAGCTTGTCGTAATTTAGCTATAGCATCCAATGCACCAAGGATCAATGCTGAATATTCTCCTACTTTCGCAACTTGTAATGACATAAATTCTTTATAGATCTCGTTCACATCAGTATCATTTGGCAAACGTCCGAATCGATGATGAAACCGTTCAGCAATAGCTGTTTGATTACAAAGTGTTCGAATATGATCTTGTTTACCAATACCCATAGGTCCACGTGCTTCTTCTAGACTAATATTGAATACCAACACTAGCAAAGGCTTCAACAAAGATGCGTGTTGGTGCAAAACTACCAAAATTGACCACAGTACCAGCCCAATCAAGAATAGCAGCTTGAAGACGTGTTGGTAATTGATAACGCATTATTCACTATATAAGAACGAGCTAAAGATTTAATAAAAAGAAATAAAAAATGTAATTCAAAACTAACAATAGAAAAGTTAGAAATTTTCTAAAAATATTTGAAAGAATCTTGCTCTTCATACATTTATTCATTAGTTTTATATTATACGAATGTGTTAAATCAATTATCTAACGTTATCAATTGATTTTTACTTAGTTATTTTTAAATTTGTCAAAATAAAAATATTATCATTCTTGATATAAGGTTACAAAATAATAAAGAAATGCTATCTCTATAATAGAGTATCATGATATATTCGTAATAATGAAGATACTATAAAATAGATCAAGACTAAGCTCGTTTAAATAGAATCACAGTAAAATTCCATGTCATATAATAACCAACATGTATTTTTGAATTATAATCGAACGATTACATGACATTTGATGACTACGATTTTATGAGGGTCATTTTTATTTTCGTGTTCTAATAAAAACTTTTCTATACTCAACACACACAATGGCACATTGTTGACGGCAAAGAATACAAATCATAATAACGCTTTTTTATTTATAGAGAAAGAACAAGAAAAAACAATCATATTCTATACTCTAAGATAAACATAGTGCTTGCCACATAGTACTCTTTTACTCATATATAATTAAAAAAAATTATCTTCGAAACCAATTTATTTAAGTGCGTTTTCAAAAAATAAAATTTATAAATTCATATTTTATCGCTGTCGTAGTTTCATTGAAAATTTCCGAGGATGAATGAACTAGTATTGTTTGATCTAAACGAATTCAATTTATATAAAGATTTTGCGAAAAATATTTTTAAACGATTCTAAAATTAAAAAATGACAGAGTGGCATTGTTTATTGAAGTGTAAAATCAGAAGGAAAAAATCTACAACTTTCCAACAAAATAACCATTTTGACTATAGAAATAAAATGTCTAGATTGATTTTACATTACAAAAATTAATATAAATATGTGTATGTTGAAAGTTTCTCAAACAGTACTTATTCAGATCAATTTTATAAGAAAATGAAGTTCTTGGTAAAGGAAATTCTTCATTTTACGTTCAAAATTTTGCTTTTTTGTGTACTCAAAAAGTTCATACACTCTAGAATCGGTCAGTATGTCTGGCCCGCCGTTTACACGATAAATTTTTCGAAAGGAGAGTCCGAGCATGATAAAATTTTCTATACTGTTCAATCTTTACAATATCTCGATCGAGAGAAGAAGATGAGAAGGATCTGCTAAGTCATTCCTGAGTTATTGCAGAAATACCCATTTTCCTTATGACTTCCTATAGAAAAATTGACTCACCGCCACTTTCGTAAAAGACTTTTACTATCACAGTCAATTAAAACGTCAACTATTATATACCATTCTATAGAGGATTTCAAGAACTAAAGAATGATATATATAAAACATGAGGAAACAGGAAGATTATTTCACCCATCGCAACGATAAATAAAGAAGAATTGGTTCTGTTTTAGTGTGCGCTCTAATTGATCACGAATTAGAGCTCTATCTTTCGACCATAAAGATGATAATCAAAGGTTTTCTGGAGCAAAGAACTAGAATCTGCACTAAACTTGGTTTGAAGCCCCATTGGTTGAGTATTGATCAATAAAAATCATGTTATAGGAGAAACGACTTTCTCAGGCTAAATAAAGCCGAACAGGTGAAATTTGAGATTTATATGCTCCTAAGTCCTACGGTTGAACAGTAAGCAATAAAATTCAAGCGTTTAAAGAAAAAGTTTTGCCACGATAATTTTTATATGCCAACATTCGTCGAATGACCGATTTGTCTCATTCACTTTTTGAAGTACACATAACTCTCGGATAAAATATAAATAAGAGATTTCCAAATTTTTTAGTATATAGATTGTTTATATAAGCAGTAGATTGTATGTCTTGATTGATGTAACAACAATAATATCGAAACAATCATTTAATGATGGAGATGGTTTGTGTCATTTATTTTGAATGTTGTTGATTATACTTTTTCTATAGATACAGTCTTGTGACCGATAACATCTTTATTAATGTCCATTTTTGATTGATCATCAGTATCGATCTATTTTACTGGTATTCTTAGTGAAATTCGATTCGTAAAATTTTCATTTAATAGATTGAATCAATAAAATTAATTTTCTATAAGCAAATCTAAGATGAGAAGGTGAATTTTAAAACTTGAATTCTCAAACACAAAAATTCAACAAGTTTCACTCGTTTATTTCATTGAAAAAATATAAAATTTACGATATCTTCAAGAGATAGTAAAATAATTGTATAAAAACATAATGATCTTTGAAAAATTTTTCAAAATTTTAAATATATTTCTGTTTAATTTTCTTCTAAAATATAATAATATGTGTATTATTGTTATCATAAACAAAACAAACTCATGGTTATGCTACAAAAAATTATGAAACAACAAATAATCCAATTAATATTCATTATTAAATTTCAAATTTATCTTAGTTTGTAATAATAATAATATTTTGAATTAAGAAAATTATTTATAAAAATATAAAAAAGTAAAAATAAAATATAATAACAAGAGAAAATAGTATATTACTCTTAATCTAAATGAAATTAATGAATACATTTGAAGAAAAGAAAAAAAAACACAATTTTAACTTTGTGACGAATTTTATATTTCAAAAAAAAAATCTATATGAGCCAGTCCACGTAAGCCAAGACCACATTGCTCAATTAGAGATCCCAACTTTTTGGTTACACCCTAGAATAGCTGTCGGCCTCGTAGTGCTTGAAAACAAAGTTTGAACACAATCCCATCCAGATAGTCGAAGAAAAACTATGAGAAAAATGATTTCTCTGCTATTTTCTAATAAAATCTTTGAAAAATCTTACAAAAAATCTTTCGAAAAATCAATGTAACTCCACAAAAAGATCTTTAATAAAGACTAAAAAAGTTGCACTCTCTACCTAAAAAATTATGTTCTATAAGATGAAATAGATATTACACAAATCTAAGACTATGATTCAGCATCTCATACGGGTATCGTATGTGGCTTAGATGGAGTGAATCATATATATATATATATATACGTCGTATCGAAGTTACATCGGTCGACAAAGTTACAACTTCGACAGAGAAATTTGTCGAAGTTAATCTTTATTCATTTATCAATAAATAAATCGTTTTTCAAAATACATTAATATTCAATATATAAATATTTTAAACAGATAAATAATTTTTTAAAAATATTTCAAATATAAAATAAAATAATTTTTTCAATAAATATCTTTAATGTACAAATCAATTTTTTTATCAGTATTTAAAAAAAAATTAGAAATTTATCATTATAAATATTCATTTATTTAAGATTCTTAANTTTATTGGTATTATTATCCAATTTTCGCTCATCTGTTTTCATGTTAGAGTTCAATTAGTATGGAAATCTTAAAAAATGAAGTGCTTCTATTCAAACTATTAACTTAAAACTTACCCTATTAAAGGTGACATTGTCGTGGAGTGGATAAAAGTTTGGAACTGTATTATATTCGTTAGAGCCTGGTACACTTGATTGAAATGCATTGGTATGAAGAGCAGAATAAAGACGACTTTGACTTATGATTCTCATGAGAATCTCAGTGCCGAATTTCGGTGCCACTTTCATATTCATTATAGCATAAAACTTCTCTATGAGAACTTTCGTCTGATCATTGAATGAAGCCCGTGACAAGGCTCGAGCATTCACGAGTTGTTCCATGACAAATTCAATCTGAAGATGTTCTATGCTGATTTTTGATATGGCACATATATACGATAATGCACGAAACTGGGCTGCTGCAGTTAGACGAAAGTCGAGCGGCGTCAAGTACGTTGTTTCCTCGTTGAACAAAGACGCTATCCATTCTGAAGATACTAATTCACTGGAGCACACCTAATGAACAAAGACAAAATACATAATTGAAGTATATAAAGTAATTAAGTTAGAGTCGTATTCTAAATATGAAGTTATTTCTTTATCCAAATAATGTTTCTTATGCTATCATTCTTTTTATGTGCATGAAAAAACCTTAATATTCTTTTTATCTTCAAACAGATTGAGAAATGTCAATGTGCTCGCTCTTGAATGTATCGATCATAGGAATGATACATAAAAGTGAGACTTCTACAAAAGCTGTAGAATCATTATGATTATATTTAATTTCTTCTCATTTTTTTCATCAATTTTTTTAGGATACATTTTGAATGATTTGTGTCATTTTCGAGCATTTCGTTTAATCTTAATTGCCATTTCAAGATTTTCTCTTATTCATGAAAGCTTTTATAGGTCTTCAAGGGTACTATCAAAGTGAAGGAGAAACATTTCTTGAACACCCGCAGTTCTCATCTTGTTTATTATTTGCTTATAGAACAATACATCTTGATATTGCGAACAGTTTCGAGCTACTTTTGATATATCTATTCGACTTAATGTTGAAACATACGTATATCGCTATAACTTTAAGCGATATTTTCCTCATTCTAATTTAAGTAGCTACGGTTGTGGACAAAAATCCTGGTACCAGACAAAAACTATGCAAATAACAGATTGGTTACTCATGTCCTAATCTGTGTTGGAATTTTCAGCACTGTAACTACTAGAGTAGTGAAGATGTGTATCATTCCATACCTTAAAACTAACAATCTTGTGAAGTCACTAACGAGGGAAGGTCTCCAACTGTCCAATCACTTTCGAGTTCGGACTCTGTGCATAAGGTAGAACCCGATGAAATATGAAAGATTCCGAAAGGATAATGACCCTTAAGCTTTCTGCACAGAGTTATAGAGATTTCACTAGAATTTCAGCCTATGGCATGGTATTTACCAGCAAATCGAATGAGGATATTTCGGATTGAGATTTTGCCCATAGATAGGTCTAGTTATGAGTAGAGTGCCCTTAAAATTTCAGCTAAAAAAAACGTTTCCTTCCTGAGATATTAAAGTCCAAAAAAACACAGAAGATTCTAGCATCTTAGGTGTGTGTGG